ATGGACTCATCAGTAATCAACCAACTTAGAAGTAGTGTTGTTTATCCAAACTGAAAGTGCTATGTTTCAATCTACGGTGCCAATGTTGTTTACTTATCCAAATTAAAAGTGTCGCCCGTTGTCAACACAGTACTGTTTATTTATCCAAATTGAAGATGTGTTGACGAGAGAGTTAGGATAGTTAGTGTTTTTCTCAGAGATGTGAGAAGGGTTTCGCGTAGAGTATTTGAGTTGTTAAATTGTTGAAGGGGCTTTCTACATTGCAAATTCTCTTGTATTTATAGGAATGAATATGTGATGGCCAAGTCGACCGAATGGTATAATTATGATATTCTAGTTCTTCAACTTATTCTTTGAATATACTCAGAATTATTCTTGGCCAAAACTCTATCACCACCGAGTCTCGCCGTTTTCGATTAGGAATCTGAACCTGAATTAATTATGTGATTGATTCAACTTTTATCCGAAAACCAATCTTGATCTTTAATATTTCTCTCATCCAACAACTTGGAGTATAAGCTGAGTACGTGCAAAATCGGTCCAAACATAACCTTGTGATTTATGGAGGATTTAAGTCGGCAGCCTATATATATCGTTGGCAATGACAAGTAACATGTGAAATGGCAAACCGAGGAGGAAGAAGTATGTGCAGACCAAGGCCATTCCCATGACATTTGGGACACGTGTTGCAAGACCCGAACGATATAATAAAAAACAAACAATAAAAATAAGTTAGAAAAAGAAAGATTTATGAAATAATTATGTGAAAATGAATTAAAATACCACAATAATTGAGGCAGCTGGTAGAGGGGATGGAGATCTTGAAAACGAGGTGTGAAGATTTCTGGTGAGAGGATTGGTGACATTTGGAATCCTACTCGACTCCACAGATACAGAAAGTGCAGAGCTTTTTACATGGAAAAGCAACATCTCTTAACAATAAGTTGAACAATCTTTTGGGGTTTGAGAGTTGGTTGGAATCAAATCTTTGTAGGTATCATCATCCATGTTGTGCTTAGTTGGACTAATAGCAATCTGCCAACTTGTCATGTTAATTTTCAAGTTAATTTTGTTGTTTTGGCCAAGTATTATAGTCTAATAACATTTATCTTCACTGGTAAACGGGAGATCTTATGTTTAATGCCGATAGATGATGAGTTCAAACCAAATCATTGATGTTGACTTATTATGTGGCTTAGCTAAATCTCTCATCACTTATTGTAAATATATCCTTGTGTTAAAAAGGTCAAACATACCAATTTATATTTTCTTCTATTTATTTATTTCTTTTTCAATCCGCTTTCAAAAGAATTACATGTGAGAGAATAAGAGGTGCTTTTCGACAATGTATAAACTACAAAAGTTGATAATTATGTTCGATGCGACTACAAATTGGCTCAATACAACTTGAGTTATGAACATATTTAGGTCAAACTAGAAGGGTAGAAAGGTGTTGGCACATGAAGAGAATGTAATAGAGCAAGTTCTAGGGTTGATTATGTTTCAACAATATGTTTTACTCGTCACAAATTCTGGATTTGGATCTCATCCGGATCCAAATTGTGGGGATTCTATGGATCCTCACATCTTAATCACTCATCGTACATCGTGTAGTTAAAAATCATTTGAAATTTTTTATTTAAAATTAAACATAAATAGTACTTGACAAAAATTAGTCACACGATGTACGATAAATAGTTAGAATGTGAAAATTCCTATGATTGTGAGTAGATCTAGAGAGAATCATCTTCCATAAATTCTAGCATCAAATCATGAAGATGTGCATATACTATCTAGTGTGGACCCCAAGGAATAAGTAATTAGAGGAATGGTTGATTTGGTATTGTTGTGCTTTGAAAAAAAAAATTGTTTCTGCTATGCTGTGAGAATAAATAGCTGTGAAATAAAGCAGCAGAGTTTTTGGTAAACTTTTTTGTAAAAGTGATTTTGGAAAAGAAAAAAAAACAGTATTATAGTGTTTGATAAACTTTTATGTAAACAGCTGTGACTGTGTGAAATGATAAAAAAAAGTATAATATTAGATGTGCTATTAATTTAATTTTCTTATCAAATAAAGGATAGGAAATATAATACAATAATTATCTAATATAACTTATTTTATTTATTTATAATTTTTTATTTTAATCTCTCTTTAGAATTCTAGAAGCATTCAGACTCTCCGATTATAATCTAACATATCATCTCCATCATTTTCACTGTCTGATTCTCATGCAACCTCTCCTCCCTCAATTTCTCCATCCTCACTTCCATTTTCTCCATCACCACCTCCACAGTCGCCACCCAGTCGCCGCCCCAATTACTACAACCGAAAACGCTCCCTTTGTCTTCTGCTTATTCGAGAGAGAGACTACAACAGCCAGAGCTGTTGGATATAAGTCAACAATCTGTGATAATTTATATATGCTAATAAATAAGAAATGCAATAGAAACTAACAGAATATAAACTAGACTATGAATTATAAAACAGACAACTTGAAGATCGAGGCTTGCGTACCGCAATGTCCTTGAAACAGAAATTTCGTCCCTACTCTGTGCTTGTAGTTCTACGGACGTCTGTTCCACCAGGATTCAACGATCTAAGTCAGAAATTCCAGCACCGGAAAATTTAACTTCTGGCGAATTTAATGTGGTTCTCTCAGTAAGAAGGTTTATGAATGTAGAAGATGAAGTTTATTATTTCTGTGTTCTAAATGCCATGCATATGGAATGTATATATAGCAGATGGATGCCTGTTTGCAACAGGTATGAAAATGGGGTGTGACTGTTGGGAGACATCTCTTCAGGGTGCTTTGCTCTTCAGTTTTCAGACTTTTCATGAGTCTTTTCAAAATAAAATAATTAATTAAAAAATTCGAAAAAAAATATTAATAAATTAATTATAGGCCCAAAGCCCCAAGGCCATCTTTTTGACAATTAAATATATATTAATTATAATTAAATTACCAATAATTAATACACCCCAAAGCCCACCCCAAGGGTGCGCCCATTTAGTCTCCAGGCCTATTACTCCAAAATTACTTCTTTAAGGATATAGCCTTATAAAAGTGATAACTCTTTTGGGAATGGCCAATGTGGGACAAGGAAATTTCTACTCAAACTTCCAACAAGAGCAGCCTCAGCCACCCCTGTTTAGGGATCGTAGGCACTCCCTGCCGCAGATGTCTCCACCACCTCCGTTCAAGCGGTATAGAAGGGAAGATTGAGGGTATGATGGCAGCAGAGGGACTCCCAAAAAAGGATTTGGACTTGGGGAGAAGAGGTGAATTGAATTTTGTTTATGATTTTTGTTTGTGAGTTGTGCTTCTATTTTGTGGTTTTTTTTTTTCTGAGAGAATACACCATCATCATCTCCATCTGGATTTGATCTAATCATCTCTCTCATCTATTTTGACTGATTCTCACTCAGATTCTGGGTTAAGAGGAGGAGGTCTTTTTCTATAATATAACTTCACTACTTTCTTGGATTCTGGACGAAAATCGACAAATTTAAAAATGGTTTGCAAGAGGAATCTTTTTCTTATTTGTGTATTTCCAGATCTCTGGAGGGAGAATAGAATGAATATTTGTGCAAGGTTGGTCAGGTTTGAGTGGAGTGGGGCGAACGGCTGCGGTCCTACTTTGATGCGAGGGGGTGAACGAGTGTGAGAGATTCCGGTTTAAGTATTAAGGACAAGGCCTATCACTTTTTAAATTCGAGGGTGTTAATTGACTTAGAAGAGTTTTTCATTAAAAGATGCATTGTAGCTCCTTGTATTTTTAAAAAAAAATCGAGTTTTCCAAGCAGCATTTATTCCGACTTTTTCTGAAATTCAGCTCTCAATCACCATTGCTACCAAAATAATCCCTTATTTTTTTAGTTTACCAAACACCTTCAACATAAAAACTTAAAAAATAGCCTTTTTTTTAAGCATTCATTCCAACCAGGCGAAGAATGCTGACCCATATAAAAAAGAATTATTGGACCCATGTTACCAAAAATCAAAATAAAATAAAAAATAGGTTTTTTATAAAATGATCTTTAAGATTTGTATAACTCCTCATTTTAGTTCATAAGATTTAAAATCGATAGAATTTGTCCTTGAGTTTGTCTACCATCAATCATTTTTGTCATTCTGTGAAAAAATCTCCATTAAATAAGGATAAAATGGCAATAATACTCTCAATTTTTGCAAATCATTTTGGCCTATTGTTTATTAAATTAAGGGTAGTTTTGTTAGTTTAATCTTTATTTAACATAACTTTTCACGAAATGACCAAAACGATTGATGGTGGACAGTCTCAAGGACCACTTGTATTAATTTCAAATTTCAGAGATCAAAGTAAAGAGTTATGCAAATCGCAAATATCATTTTAGCTAAAAAGCCTAAAAAAATTAAAGAAAGAAGCAGCGCCCGAATTGAACGAACAATTTTCACTTCTATCAGAGTTTGGGCTGGATCAAGTCACTGCATGTTTGTGATGGGCCAACTTACTTGAATTGGACTTCTTCACGCCAAAACCCATAAGCTATTGATCAACAGCGTTGGCTTAATTTTATACTATGTTGACTGCTACCTTGATATTTGATGATCAAATGCTAATATTTATCCTTACACAAGTCAATATTTTTATATTATTCCTAATTGTACTTGTAATAAAGTCATTTTCTTTTTATCCGTAACACCGACGTTTAAACTAGTCATTTTCTTTTTATCCGTAACACCGACGTTTAAACTAAGCATATATTAAAGCCTTTATTTTGTCACAATGTCACAAGACAAAATCTCAATTCTCTCCAAGTCACCTATAAAACAACACTGCCAATTTAACATGCCCAAATCCCCCTCTCCATCAGCCACCATCTTTATCTCTAATCTCTCCATTGGCCACATCCCATACGTACCACTCACGGCGAACTCATCGGCCTACTTGGCGTTGCAGCCGGAGCCATAATTGTCACGACGTACCAACTCCTTGTCATCCACTTTTGTTGCCGCCAAATGCGCGAAGAAAACAACATACAACAAGAACAAACACAACATGAACAACGTCGTCAATGGCATGACGTCAACCGAAACTTCAGATCAACAACTGCACGCAGCGTTAATTCGCCCTCCTACGATAAGCTGATCCCGGTTCTGAAGTACACCAAGGAATGCAGTGAAGGAACCTGCGCCGTTTGTTTGTGTGAATTTACCGACGGCGAGGAAATCCGTGTGCTGCCGGAATGTGCACACTTGTTTCATGTGGGGTGCATTGACATGTGGCTCAGCTCACACTCTAACTGCCCACTTTGTCGAACTGATATTATTGCTAAACGAGCACCGCAACACGTTGTTCCTCCTCCGCAAGATGTTGAGGCTCCTCCTCCGCAGAATGCTTTGCCTGCACCACATGTTGTGATACTGATGCCAAGTGTTGGAGTATGAGTTGTTTTGTGGAGTCATGGATTGATGGCTTTTATTTTGAGTTTTTTAAGCCACTTTTGTTCAAGGAGTGTGTGCAATTAGAATGAACTCAAATTAGTGGAGGTTTCATGTAAGGGTTGCGATTTTGACGCTCCAATTTGTCTTCTGACACTGTGACTTGAGTAACTATACACTCGTAATGAGAGTGACAAAACCTCAAACGAAAGTGGAGCTTTCATTCACATGTAACTGTAACTATAATCTAAACTGCTTTTGAATTACTGTATGCATATGTGCCCTTATTGCGAGGGACTATAGGATTGGAATAATAGTCATCTCAGCTCGTTTGGCAACTGGGACGAAGCAGATTGAAACAAAGTCCAATCTGAATGAAGTCTTGTAAGACATATTCTGAAATCACAATAACAAAATATTAGGATCACGAATAAACAATCAATATCAATAAAGATGACTAATTATATTAAACTTATCTGTGAAATACGGAAGACATGGTTATGAAGGTGAAGTCATTGTTGAACACCAAAGGTTGTCTTCTACTTCCAATACTTTTACAATCTCTCTCTACCGTGAATAGGTTTGGCGTAAATTGAGAGACAACGTATGGAAGCAGGGACTTAACCCTTATTATAAAATTTTACAATCAACATAAACGAACTATCATTGGCTATTAAGATCTACCTACTCTCTCTAGTATTAAGTCCTACATGATATGATATCTTTATAAACATCTACAATTTCCTCTAGTTAATTGAAGGGATAAGACTCCATAATCCTTATTAGGCTAGGACTATCGATCACATTTGTTGCTAACCACTGCGATAGACATTGGCTACAACAAAATGACCAATACAACATTCATTGTCCATTCACAATCTTACATTTCTCACCACTTGAAGTCAATGATGTCATCTACAAATAAGAATCTCATGGTGCTTCACTGAGTCTCATAAGTATGCATAACCTTTCCTAGTAAACCTTGTTACTTTCGAAGATCGAATTGCAGAATTCAAAGATACAAAAGAAACAGCTCTGTCTGTTCTTTGTCACTCTGAGCTCAATATTACATACGACACTTATCTAAACCCTTTAATACTACGGATTTGTTACTAACGAGTCGTGGTGTCAGAGCAATAGTCAAAACATTGCTCACAATAGTCGAACTAAACCATAAAATACTTTTCAGTACATAAAGTAGTACAAAGTCTACGTTGGTTAACAACATCCCACTGTGCTGTCACAAATTTAGAATAATAATAAGAGAACAAGTAAAATACGATATACTGTTGTACAAAATCAGGACTCTTATTAAAAACTTTGAACAAATTTAAATCAAAATTTACTCTAAATTGTATCAGCCACTAACACTTCAAATTTTCAAAAAAAAGTAATCTCTTACTCCCACTGATTAACAGAGGCAAAATTTATATATAGATAAATTATTATTACTCCCATGATTAAGAGAGTAAAAACAAAACTTAGTACAATGTCTACAAAATGCAACCGATACCTTAACAATACTCCCATTAGCAAAACCATTAGTCATGGGATCTAAAACATAAAATTGTTGAGCTCAACATCTTTATTCTAGATATCAGTAGAAGTGACTCTTGTGGAGTACAAAACTATAAAAATCATTTGTCAGTTTGTTCATCTAACATTTGACAGAAATAGAATACTTAACTAACGTTTGTTATTGCATCAAAAGCATATAATCTATAATCATTTGGACAGAAAACTATTATACTGGTTTGCATAGCTAAAACATGAAATACAAGGGTAAAATGTATATAGCTCAACACTTATGAGCAGATGAAGTATATGCAATCTTGTCAATTTCAGTTTCACTATACATTGATTTATAGTTGTCAGATAAGAAAACACTTTTGAGGCAAATTTAATTAATTCATCTAATATAAAATCACAAGTCCAATTGCTTGAACAACAAGAATTAATTAAGTAAAAACTTTTGAGCAGAATATACTCATTAACCCTTCCTTGAATTTCCTACAAGATTAGTTGCATATAAAAAATAAATATAAACAAGTATGATATGTACGTTTTTCTACCAAATTATGACGCATTAAAAGCATGCAAAATTGATGAGTGTGAGCCCATATTACATTATTTCTCCACTTGGGCAAACACTCAAATTGCAAGGTTAAACACCAAAGAAAGTGGTTTTCATATAACAAAATATAGGGTAGTTGAATCAATAAAATATTGTAAGCTCTACCAAATTTCAGGATTTTAATCAATAATTTAAATAAACCAAAAGGTCTTAAATTAAACCATTCAAATATGATTCATCCATAGATCCTATTATATGCCAAAACGTTAAAACCTTGGTTTCACAAAAGTTGATACATCCTTATTGTATAAAATGTTATCAAAAATACCATTATATGAATTAAAAGGCAATTTAGAGCCACCATTATTATTGTATACTCGGTAAATTCAGATCTCATATTTCATGATTAGTAGTAAACATCGATATAATCCTATTAAAACACATTATTAACAAATTTAAAAAGAGGGACAAGTGGATCACCGATAACACTGATCGATTTGTGGCTACATCAAAAATATTTACATTTTCAAGAACTAATGTGACAAAAGTACCCATATGTGTTAAAATCATAATCACTTTAAATTATGTAAAATCAGCAAACTAATAACGTGGAAGATTCCAAAATCAAACAAAAGTTTAGATTTTTAAGAATTTAATATCTTAAAAGTATTATAATTTATGATCAATGATTCAAAAAGATCTAAACAAAGGGAGAAATTACATTCTCAACAGACATTCAAGGAGGATATATTTAACACTAATTTCCATAACAAATTTAATGTTTTTCCAAAATGCAACTAAATTTAAGAACTCAAGAAAACTAAGGCAAAATAGGCAATTTACCTACCTCCTTATTCTCATGTGAACTAATTATCTATAAACATGAGACAAGCGATTTCTCGAACAAAAATTATTACAGAGCGTTTATATGTGACATATTGACACCGCAAAATCAATATTTTTACTACTGGGTTCCATCTCCAGGGTGTGCTTCTAGAGACAGTAAACTCATGAAACTAAACAAAGGAAAAATACATAATGCAAATAAAGTAACTAAAAACAATTCGAAAATGGATGCTGAAATACAAGAAACTGCAAATCAATACTGAGCTAATATTCACCAAAATACTCTTTTAAGTGTATGAAACTTCAAGAAAATTAGGATTAATTTATTGTACCCAAACCACATTTTTCGATTTAAAAGTGTAAAACGGTGAGTGATTTCCAAAACCCATTTGGGACAGTCCCGAGATTAAAAATTCACCAATAACATTTAGAACTGTTGGTGAAAAATTTCCAGATTTTAAATAAACATCTCTTTATATATCTATTTCTAAATGGGCAATAACTCCAACAACCTTTTTGAGACTCTCAAAAAGGAACATCTAAAATGACTAAATACAAAATCAAGGTCAAAAATGAATACAAGCTCTACTATTAATATAGTATGAAAAATAAAAATTTGAAGTTAAGAACATCAAAAACAATGTCCTTAGTAGGGCCTATACAACATGAACCTTAATGTGAGTTCCTTACATTTCCTCAAAACAGGAAGAAAGTCTTTATATTTCAGGCCAAAATTCGGTATTATGTGTGCAGTCCCTTTGATAAAAGTTGTGCTTATAGGAAGCACAAAAATAGCAATGAAACAAAGACTCAAAATTTACGACCAAGAGAATCAATCAATTAAGATATATTAAGAAGCAAAATAAGGATATCACAAATACATCTTTTTAAACATCGAAAAAATAATCTAATTAAAGTTAAATTATAAGTAAATTTTGACTCAGCATATATAACAAATACTAAATAATTTAATGACACCCCGGACTTTCACTTAACGATTCCAAACTAAAACACTAGTACATTAACTTTACCCTTTATTTTGCATTAGTTAAACTCAAAAACAAACATTTTCATAAGCCAAAATTAACAAGCGTGTGATCCTTATACAAACAATAATTATTCAAAAGAAGAAACCATTACAAGAAACTAGTTTAAAAGAAGTTAAACACCCGACTAAATCTACCCAATTCATTAATAAAATTCCCAACCACCAATTGACTGGATCTTTGAGGATATAACGAAAAAAAATTATAAAAAACCTCTTAAAAATTAAGCGGAAGCCTCAAACAAATTTCATGAGATGAACCGTAGAAAGGCATCTTCCAAACATAAGCAAATTTCTTAGTATGTGAAATATCTTCAATAAACAAATTTGGCTTATACCTTTAAATCGGACCCTAAAGCTTTGTTGTGCGGCTGAACCACAATGTAACCATATTCTAAAATACAAAACAACATTAGGATCACGAATAAATTCAAACATCAATATAAAATAGAGATCGACTATTATATAAACTTAATCATAGAATACGGAAGACATGGTTATCAAAGGTTAAGTCATTGAAGAACACCCAGGTTGTCTTCTACTTCCAATCACTTCAACATATCTCTCTAACCGTGAATAGGGTTGGCGTGAATGAGAGGAACAACGTAATGGAAGCAGGGACTTAACCGTTGTTATTTATATCATTAGGGGTTTTCATCACACCGACCTATCATTTGGCTATTAAGATCTACCTTTATGCTTCTCTAGTATTTAAGTCTACCATGAATACGATATCTTTATAATAAATCTATCAGATTTCCGTCTAGGTTAATTGCAAGGGATAAGACATCCATAATCCTTTTTAAGGTTAGGACTATCGGATCCAGCTTTGGTTGCTAACCCTACTGCGATAGACAATTGGCTTACAACAAAAATGATCAATACAACATTCATTGTCATTCACAATCTTACAAGTCTCACCTTTTATGTAGAAAAAATTTTTCTAGAATCTTTGCTAGTTGAACCATATAAAGGGTTCCTTGTATGGTACCCGTTGGGTACGCAACGGGACAAAACGAGACAGAACGGGACGGAACGGAA